TCTCATACAAAATTTTTGAAAATTAGTGAAATTTGGACATGGTAAAAACAAATGGTTGCAATTTTCAGCAAATATCTTATCATTCTCTCAACGAAACACAAAGGGAGTTTAGCAGCTGGAAAGAGGAAAAAATTCTGCATCGGATACATCTTAAGGAGTTAGTTTATCTTCATAGCGTGTTTGCCGATGGATTGAAAAAACTGACAAAACTTTTGCACCAACCTAATATATATTAGGTTGGCACGAAAGTTCTTGCGTAATTCAAACAAAATTCAATAACTTTTCAAAGACTAAACCTAAATTCACAATCTTGTATGCCAAAAATATTAGAAACCTTACGCTTCATAATGGATGTTTAAGCATAAGTTTCCGTGAGCGGGTCATCAAGAACGAAGCTCTCGAATATGGGGCTTCAAATTTTGCGATTTTGAGTTTGGTGCCAGGAAATCGCAGAGTGCCGCTAGCTAGCCGAAAAAAATCTGTAGAATTTACTTACACAACAAAAGTCCATATGTTACTTTGGAAGGCTTTGATCTTGCACGATGAAGCAAAAACAAAAAATTCGTGAAATATGTCATTTTGCGGAAAAAATCCCCTCATGCCCGCAGTTTTCCGGCGAAAACACTTTTTTATAATCGAGAAAACGTCGCAAGGCTCTAAATAGACACTATGTCTAATTTCTGGTTGCAAACTGTGTTTCTGTGGAAAAATTAGAGCGACAAGGGGATTTTTTCCGCAAAATGACATATTTCACGAATTTTTTTGTTTTTGCTTCATCGTGCAAGACCAAAGCCTTTAAAGTAACATACGGACTTTTGTTGTGTAAATAAATTCTACAGATTTTTTTCGGCTAGTTAGCGGCACTCTGCGATTTTCTGGCACCAAACTCAAATCGCAAAATTTGAAGCCCCATATTCGAGAGCTTCGTTCTTGATGACCCGCTCACGGAATCTTATGCTTAAACATTCATTATGAAGCGTAAGGCTTCTAATATTTTTAGCATACAAGATTCTGAATTTAGGTTTAGACTTTGAAAAGTTATTGAATATTGTTTGAATTACGCAAGAACTTTCGTGCCAACCTAATCCCTTATATAATAAAGCGCATTGGTCATTCTGTAACACCCCCCCCCCACTCATCATAGTGATGCCTGTCATGGGTGGTCTGCGGGTGCTCACCAAAATTGTCGGAGATGTGAACAACAATGCATGACCAAGATAGAAATTTTTAGGATCTTTATCAACGGAATTTGATTTTTGGGCATATTTTTTGGAATTTGTTTCCAAATTTTACGTGGTTTGAACTTTTTGCGCTTGTTCAAATACTATCTTGTAGAGCTTTGCTTTTTTGAATAATGAGTTTCCTACATTCTTTTATCTATTTTCCTTAATAGAGGGAACTGGCATTACTTTTGAAACAATTTAATAGAATGTAGAATTTTAGCCTTCAAGTTATGTTATCGTCAGTAGGGCTGTCTCTTTATCACAACATTCCTGGAGGGTGGGGGGAGAAATTTGGCGTGGCGGCAGCCATTTTCACATTGTTTTACAGTGTTGAGTTTTAGCCCATCCGCACTATTTACAAACGTTGTCCGCTCTCTCCTCTCCGACCTCGATCACTGATTGCTGTTACTATTTAGGTTTTGAAAAATTTAAATCTGATGAGTTTTTCCAGTGTACACTACGAGCGTGGCAAGCATAATGTAGTTTATTCCTAGTGACGAAAATTCTAAACAAAAGAAATTTCGAGCAAACGAAACAAAAACAATTTTGTGTCGCTAATTCGTTTACTCTCCGAGCATTTGAATGCTCAAGAAATCATCTAGTGAGTTCTCACTTATAAACAATTCAAATCTAATGTCACTATAGCCTTCTGGACTAGTATATGCACACAATACAATGGCACGCAACTGTACAGATATGTACTGTACTGTACTGTACCGTAACTTTACATTCAAAATCTGAGTCGCAGTGAAGGCTCAAAAATTGCGAAAAATTCATATCTCTGTTCAGAAAATCCCTACGAATCTCCAACTTGCTCATAAAAATTGCCCACCATATCAAACATTCATATGCACCGTTGCTGTATTTTTTCCTCATCTAGATATCGAGAAAAGGAAAATTTTTCACTTTTTACAAAAACGAAGCTATGCTGTTTCTATCCATGTAGCTGTATACTACAAGCCCTTAGAAGTATAACCGTGAATTTTCAGCTTCCCAGAAGCCCTAGTTTTCGAAAAATACCCAATTTAGCCTTGAAAACCCGAGTGAGAGAAGCTAAATTTGATATTTTTCGAAAACTAGGGCTTCTGGAAAGCTGAAAATTCATGGTTATACTGCTAATGGCTTATAGTATACAGCTACACAGTTAGGAACTACATAGCTTCGTTTTTGTAAAAACTAAAAAATTTTCTTTTTCTCGATTTCTAGATGAGGAAAAAATACAGCAACGGTGCATATGAATGTTTGATATAGTGAGCAATTTTTATGAGCAAGTTGGAGCTTCGTAGGATTTTTCTGAACAAAGATATGAATTTTTCGCAATTTTTGAGCCTTCACTGCGACTCAGATTTTGAATGTAAAGTTACGGTGGATCGGAGCTGGTGCGAACTTTTGCACACCATTTTGTAGAGCTTGTTTTGCTCTATCGAATGGTACCCTGTAGCCCTGTAAAGAATATGAGGTGCATGACTTATTGCCGTTAGAAGTTAAGTGTAACAAGACTTATGTAACAACCTAATATTTCAGAGGTCAATGTCTTGGAAAATAGTCCTCATTTTGATCCTGGTGCAAGTGATTATTGCAAATTCTAAGTGCGATTTCTGTGGTCTTTTCGGCCCTTGTCTAGGTTTGAGAAAAAAAAGCCAAAGATGAAGCCAGCCAGCTCGAGCAAGCCAAGAAAGACGTGGGTTTCAATCTTAGAACAGTCAAGTTCATTGTTATGTCGGTTACTTTTGCAGTGCGACGAACGCTGTCGAAAATATAGGGGTGATTATGGCACTTGCATGTCATTATGTGTATTGGCAGCACGACTACAGTTGGAAGAATTGCGAAGAAAAACAAAATAAGAGGACCTATCAAACTGTTCATTTGAACATCATCATGTTATTCTCTAAAAAGTAAGTGTTTTGTCGAGCACAATTGCCTTATCGTTAGATTCTATGTACAGAATGTACTGCTCTTCGCGTATTCATATTTTGTTTTAAAATCTATTCGGAACGCACTTGACATATCTGTGACTCAATGCGTACTGAGTATAATCACAATGTTTTAATTTCTAATTTGAGAAAAAATGCAGATGACTTCGCCATTGAGGTTCTTATAAACACATTTCTATAATAGTTAAAAACGCTGAAACACTTGGCTCTTTGGTAGGTTACAAAAGTTGAAAAGAATGAGGAACGTTGGAAATCCATTATTTCATTCTTCAGACAACCCTGATATTACAAAGAGATGGCATGTGTTAGACATCTACTCAATTTACCATTCACTTAATCCTAATGACTTGATTGTAACTTTACAAGCTTGAATGCTGGTTGTGAAATTTCAAGCCTTCTTACTCAACCAGTAAGGACGTCCAACCTCGAACTTACTACATAAATTCAGCGTGAATTGAGCAAAAGTAAAGGATTAATTAGCGTGCAGCGATTACAAAGCACAGAGTAGTGGTAATGAGCTTGAATGTTACTTACTGAGTTGAGACTGAACAAGCCCCCTATAGTGGATTTTAATCAAAAGGGAATTTTTGAAGATTGAGAGAATTGATTATGTTGCCCTGAGCTATGAATTATCAAAGTGCCGATAGTAAGAGCGGAGGAAACACAGCCGTGCAAGTTTGCCTGCCCTTATTAGCAGACATTAGGGGCTAATTTGGTTACGAGTTGGATTTTTTTTTGCGATGCTGCTAATAAGTGGTTGATATCACTATTTCTCATCAATCCCTATTCACATTCAGTTTCATCTTACCATTATCTAGTGGAAGGTGACCCAAGATTCCTGAGACAAAACTAGTCTGAGTGATGAATTCTCGCAAAGTACTGATGGCATGAAGCTTTTGCTAATAGAGCTCGATAAGAAAGCGTACAGAGGAGGGCGATGCCTAAACATTCGACAGTGTCAGCGCGAAACGTTTAAATTGATAATGAAGCAAAACTATTGTTTTGAATATGAAAAAAAATTTTTGCGGATGCAGTGACTTGAAGGTTTCAACAAACTTTCCGTGAAAATGCGGCACAATTTTTGTGTTCTCCTATTAAGTCTATTTATACATGAAGTAAACGCAGTCTCTACGCTCGCTTCAATACTAACAAACTTAGGATGATGACTGCCAACTAGTTTGCTTAAAATATCTCGAACAATGCCGAGATGGGGAAAAGGCAGGATTGCTCTTTTTCGCGTAAACCTATGTACAAGCATATGTTCCGGGCATCAGACCCGAAGTTCCAAGCACTCAATTCTTTCTTTTTACTTGGAAATATTTTCAATCCGTTCACGTGTACAGAGTGCTGCCGATAGCAGAAAGAGCATATGTTACGGAAAATGAAGTGACAGGAAACTGTCACAGTTTCCTTAACTACTTACAACAGTTCGAGGGCTGAAGTTCTTGAATTCAGGATTCAGCACATTCACATCCATGTCTGACTCACATAGTCCGTCTCCGCTCCGTATGTTTCAGGATCATCAGTCTAGACAGAATTGCGGCCGCGGATGGAAGATAGATCATATTTCTGTTCAATTTGCTTAGCTTGTGAAATAACAGCTGAGCTATCAGTTTTTGTGCAGGTAATTTCAATGAATCTACTGAACAGTTAGAACGAAAAATAGACATATAGGTGGTGTAAACCATGTCGCGTAAATAAGTTTTGAGACAAAGGCAAGCGTTCTAAAAATTAATAAAATGGTGCCAAAAAATGGTAATTCTGCGCCAAACTTGGACAGCGGTTTTTGCGATTTGTAAGATCCTAATTACAATCCCCTCGCGATTCCTCTGTCAAGGTCAAAATGTGTGCTTTCAAATCTACTATTCTGTATCCGCAAATTATTGGTTTTCTTCTTGCAAAGGTAGGACTTGCATTCAAGAATAGGCTAAACGCAGGGTCTTACTGCGCAAACCATGCTTATTTTCAAAAAAATCGCTCACCATCTTTAAGTTGAAGCGAAAAAAAGATTGTCGTAACTATTTTCACTCTTGACAGCGCACTCGAAAGTTTGTTTGAGACTGCTTATATCTCCTACAATACCGCTCATAATTTGTCAAAAAATTCGCCGGACTGCGGCGCACTCCGGCGTACTGTGGCGGAGTGCGCCGGAGTGTGGCAGAGTGCGCCACACTCCGCCGCAGTGCGCCGGAATGATCGTCAATTTAGCCATATCTCGCTTCAGAATGGACGAATTCTGAATCCGAGGACACCGTTCGATTCAGCTCGACGAGACGTATCATCTTCTATATGAAGCTGAACGTCTGTTTGTCTGTTTGTCTGTACGTATGTCCGAATAGAAAAATCCATTTCTGAACCGATCCGGACCAAACTTGGAACACATACACTTCGGGCCCCGGCGGTTGTCATAGGCTACTTTTCGTCATCGATCGATATCGATTTTATCGATCTTTATCAATTTTTTTGCAGAGTTCACCTACGGGGCTGGGAGTTTGCATAGGGGGGTAATCGTGCATGGGGATTCCGAATACAATATTAGTTTTCAGAATTATCGATTATTATTTTGGTTGAATTCAGTGTGCTGATAACAGTATTACCATTGATCTGTCGCTGATGACACATAGACAGTATACTATAGGAGTATGGTAGAAAGCCACTCTGATCGAATTTGTTCTAAGATCTGCTCAAGATCACAATACCGCGCACAGAATGTCAAAATTTCCGTGAACTTCGCGAAATTCGGGGATT